AAATTGTGTGATCTCTGATTCTGTGGTCATAAATTGTGTGATCTCAGATTATGTTGTCATAAATTGTGTGATCTCAGATTCTGTTGTCATAAATTGTGTGATCTCTGATTATGTGGTCATATATTGTGTGATCTCTAAATCTGTGGTCATAAATTGTGTGATCTCTAAATGTGTGGTCGTATATTGTGTGATCTCTAAATCTGTGGTCGTAAATTGTGTGATCTCTAAATCTGTGGTCATAGATTGTGTGATCTCTAAATCTGTGGTCATATATTGTGTGATCTCTAAATCTGTGGTCATAAATTGTGTGATCTCTAAATCTGTGGTCATAGACTGTGTGATCTCTAAATCTGTGGTCATATATTGTGTGATCTCTAAATCTGTGGTCAGATATTGTGTGATCTCTGATTCTGTGGTCATAAATTGTGTGATCTTAGATTCCGTTGTCATATATTGTGTGATCTCAGATTCTGTTGTCATAAATTGTGTGATCTCTGATTCTGTGGTCATAAATTGTGTGATCTCAGATTCTGTTGTCATAAATTGTGTGATCTTAGATTCTGTTGTCATAAATTGTGTGATCTCTGATTATGTCGTCATAAATTGTGTGATCTATGATTATGTGGTTATAGATTGTGTGATCTCTGTTTTTGTGGTCATAGATTGTGTGATCACTGATCGTTTGATCTTTTATTGTGTCGTCAAAGATCTGTGGTCATAGATTGTGTGGTTATAGATTGTGTGGTTATAGATTGTGTGGTCACAGATTGTGTTAGCTCTGATTTTGTGGTCATAGATTGTGTGATCTCTGGTTCTGTAATCAAAATAAATTGATGATAGAAATTAGAAGCCGACAATCAAGATAAAATGATGACAGAAATCGGCGTGCTTTAAAAGATACTAAACCAACTTTTAATTTGGGCTGGAAAGGGAGGGGGGGGTGTTGGGGATGGGGGAGGGTTGGCTATGGGAGGGGGGGGGGGTTGGTTAGGGCAATATGTTTATACTAATTCTCTCTTCCTCTCTCTTTCTCTCTCTTTCTCTCTCTTTCTTTCTCTCTCTCTCTCTCTCTGCTCTCTCTCTCTCTCTCTCTCTCTCTCTCTCTCTCTCTCTCTCTCTCTCTCTCTCTCAAAATGGAACCCCAGAAGCCACACTGAGAACGATGTTATCAATCTCATGAGAGATAAAATCTGCAAAGACGATTACAACAACATGCATGGCTTCATATCACTGATCACGCCAGTTGCTAAGGATGGGAGGCAGCCTTCAGTCGCCAGACATCAACATTTGACTAAAGGCACAAGGAGGTTATTTGCGTATCCTTTACAGGACGTTGCAGAACCAACTCCCACAGCACCTGGCTGTTGTTTGGTTTTTCTAGGCAAATGTACGTCCAGTAGTTTGCCATAGCTTTCTAGAGGGTCGGCTTTATTGATACCACTGTCGAAACCAACGCAAGGCGCATGGCCTGCAGCTAGGGTTCGAACCCAGCATCCCGGCATTACGAAGCGTTCGCATCGACTTAGCCACAGAGCCGACAAAGGCACAAGACCGTTGATGAATCTAGACAGGGATAGGGTTGCCAGGTGTCCTTATCTTTGCTACCAGGTCGTCACTGACGAGTGAGTTTGACCATTCATAAACAATTCTGAAAATTCGCAAATTCGTCCCCGCTTTCACAGTCCAAGACAAAACTAGTGTATTGATCAAGTTTGTAATTAGTTAGTTAGTTAGTTAGTTAGTTGGGTTATCCTCATTGCACTCCGGACATGTCCATAGGTGCTCAGATCCTCCCCTCAGTATGAACCCCAACGTCCGATGGCTAATAGTACCAGTTCTATGTTGATTAACAAGTCTTCTGGCGTAGCTGGTGTGCGTCTCGTTTTTTGCTGTGCCGATCTTAATTCCCAAGTCTGCCATTCTGGCGAGTGATGTGGATTCACTGCCACCAAAGTCGTCTATCCTTCCCATTTCTCTGAGGGCATTGATAATATCAGCATGATCCATAGGCTGACCGTCGGTAGTGATAGCGGATCCAGCCAACCTGTCAGCTCTTTCATTTCCATCGACGCCTGCGTGTCCCGGAACAAAAATAAAGGTGACTCCACGGACAGTGGACTTCTGTAATGATTCAAGCCATTGTCTTCGCACTGAACCTGCCTGAACCCTCTGGATCATACTCATTGAATCACTGAGTATACACACGCGGGTGTATTTTTGTGTTTCAAGCCAGGCAAGCGCTTGTGTCACTGCCATCACCTCTATCGTCATGCTGCTGGTTGTCATGGAGAAGGCGCCGTTGGCTTCTTTGACTGTTCTGCCCCCTGAGCGTGCTGTAAATGCCCATGCGCTTCTTCTTTGGCGTATAACGGATCCGTCTGTATAGATTATTGCATCTGCTTCGTCTGAATTTTCACCGATGAGAGCGTTGACCTCTGCATTAACAGCAACAGGATTCTCTTCTCTACATCGCCTGTTGAGTGTGACAATACAGGAAAATGTACAAATAAACGCCTGAGGCACAGGTATCCATTCTGCACAAGTGTACAACTGTTTACTGCACTTGTTCTACTGGGACCGTGAGAGAAAGGAAAGAATAGTCAAACTGCACTCTCCCAGACATGATGTCAGAGATGACCAAGTTATGTTATCTTATGACAGTCATCGTCCTTGATCATTCCCATGCCTGCCTAGTCCGCCTCTGCAGCAGCCATTCCACGGTATCTCTACTGATTGTACCTATGAGGAGTTGGTTTTAATGTCTCTTATCTCAGCCTTGAAGGCAGCATAGACACACAATCGTGTTATGTATGTGTTTATATATATATAAGTGTGTATGTGTGTAGCACCCATTGTACTGAAGTATATTCAGTGATACCTCAGAATCCAAATGCCTCAAAAACGCAAAGTTGGAATCAGATTTTGACCTTGTGGTCGAAAACACAAGAATTAGTCAAACGATGCCCTGATAGAGCCCCAGTTAATTTCGCAAATTCGTCCCCGCTTTCACAGGCCAAGACAAAATCAACACCATGTGACTATACTAAAAGCTGTAGGAGTAGCAAAATGTACTCAGAAACGCTGAAGACGGGATTCTTCGGTAGAAAGACTATTTTCGGTAATCCGTGCCCAATAGTCGGCGTCTGTGGCTTAGGCGTTGCGAACGCGCTTCGTAATGCCACGGTGCCGGGTTCAATACCAGCTGCACGCCACGTCATGCAAAGGATACTTAACTAACTAACGTGCACACTGTCTAACATCTGAAAGGCAAACACATTCAGCAAACACACACAAATAAGGATTTAATAAAAAGGGACAATTAGGAGGACAAATGTGTTACAAGAATACTAAATCTCCTCTAGACAGATTTCAGATCCAAAGAAAACAAGAGACCAAGCAAGATAATGTAGCCAAATGTACAAGAAAGCGCCGCTGGAAATACAACAGCCATGCACTTGGAATGGATAAAATCAGACACCTCATCAAGCCATTATATAACTACCGAAACCGAAAAGTAAACTGGAAAGACCAAGGGAGATTGCGTAGAACCATTTTCAGGGAATGCTCAGCCATAGATTTCATACAAATGCAACACCTACAACAGGTGGAAACGAACCGCAAGACACGAAGAGCTATCACCTCTGCACCGTCTTAGGTTCAAGAGGAAAGACTAAGTAACTGGACCAAGATAAATACTTCTTATTGGGATTCAATCAAATCAATTTCACTTGTAAGGTTAATTTAAAACATTTCGCATACAATCATATTTATGGACATTTATTGCAAGAAGAAAACATTCTGAAAAGATTAGGTACTCGGGAAAGGTATACACAGAACCAAATTTAAATGGCATTTAATATTAAGAGTTGTGAATTTCAGGATATCAAAATATGGCAACCCTAGATAGAGCAGGCGTGACCTCTCCCCCTGCATTATTTCTACTGAGCCACCATGATGTAGTGGCTAGACGCAGGCATGCGGTTTCAAATTAGTCAACATATTGTGCAGTCTATTTATTGTTTGTCGGCTCTGTGGCTAAGTCGATGCGAACGCTTCGTAATGCCGGGATGTCGGGTTCGATCCCAGCTGCGGGCCATTCGCCTTGCAATGGTTCCGACAGTGGTATCAAGAAAGCCGACTGTCCAGTTAGCAATGGCAAACTACTGGACGTAAATTTGCCTAGAAAAACCACACAACAGCCAGGGGCAGTTGGGGTTGGTTCTGCAACGTCCTGTAAAGGATACGCAACTAACCTTAATGTATTGTTTATGTCTTCTTTGTTAAAATTCGTTTTTTTTTTTTTTTTTTTTTAATTGATATAATTATTTTATATTTTTTATATTTTTGACTTTCTCTAAACCGCTTTTGAGTCAGTTGTTTTTGACCTGTGTCCAACCAGTTCCAACAGCAGGCCAGGTGTGGCTATGCCATCGCAGTTATGGGCGTCTACTGGACAACAGAGTGTCTGCCCATTGCTGTGACGTCATTGTTACCTGTGGTATTACTGCCGATGCTTGGAGTCTTGTCCGCCAAAAAGACTTCCGCTACATATTTCAATGTAGGTCAATATGGCTGCGTAGTTAGTGGAGTAACTGCTTGCATATGGCGGGGGGGGGGGGGGGGGGGGGCTGAAAACTGTATCATGACCTATACATACCTTTATATATATTTGAAAAAAAAAAAGTAAAGTCGGGAGATGTGAACAAGCGTTATTGCACACGGTTATAAACCATACGTGCTCTGCCACCAGTACGGACAGCTGATAAGAAACTGTCCGTCTGTGTCACCGTCCGCACGAAACTCCGTAGCTACAGCTACGTTTCTCCATTTACCCCAGTTTTGACTCTGACACCCATTTCCTAAAGGCTGGGTTATACACTGGGAATGGAGGTGAAGGCAGTCACTGCAGCCTCTTGCTGGCTTAAGAATCAGCTGTATACATGGGTCGTAATTTTAGCCTACTCACAGAGAGCATGTTGAGAAACGTGGCAAACGGTATGCTCCGTGAAGAGTGGGATGCATCACTTCAGAGATCCTAGGTAGTTAGCGTCCTTTGGATATTGTACCCAGGATATGCCGCTGTATTACGCAATAAACAGGCAAATAGGCTGGCTAGTTCTGCATAACTTGGTAGTGAACCGATGTGTGACAAGCTAGCTGTTGTAAGGACCCTGTGGGGGGAGGAAGGGGGGGGGTGGCAAGTGAACACTGCTGAAGCACAGATAAATTACCATGGTCTGAAGAAAATGGCGCTGCGAGGAGTAACCAGGGGATCTGGACGACGATCAGCACTCAAGGGAGAGGGCGAGAAGGATAATAATCAGACTGATATTGGTGCTATTAAAATTGAAACTCACTGCTGAAGGAAGGGACGGGGCGTTTATGGGAAGGTTTTGAGTGCTGTGATGTTTCCTGCCAATGGACATCACGACGGCCTTAGCTACAACACTGATTACCTCTGCAGCTAGTCGAGTGTGAACATGTCGGTCCCGGATTCTCGGCTACGCGACGGAGTACGTGCGTGTGAGTTGAGAACCTCTTCGCTTGCTCCACAGATATATAATAATGATTTTCACATTAGAAGGGGAAAGCGCAGAAAATACCGAGCGCACCGCAAAAATAATCCGAAAGTGAAACGTTATGGGGCCAGAGAATTACGACTGAACCAGATGACAACAGGAACTTTCAATAAGGAGACTCTTCGCTGGCTGCTGAGGAGGGTCAAGGAGCTAAAAGTGGCTTGTCCTAAAGGCTCTGATGTCGAATCTTCACCCGGAGGGTTTAGACAATCAGATTGATCAATTAAAAGCCAATAGGTATGCAGAATCAAAACTAAAATTTTGAGAGCCTAATTTTCCTTGTAGAAAATACGGATATAAGTCGTGGATTTCTCGCCATCATTATCCATCAGTAGGTCGCTTTTTGCGGTGGGAGGTTACAGAAATATTCTTTTAAAACAATGGAACAAAAAGAAAAGAAATATTGACATCCTTAAAGATTCAAACGACTATAAGAATAGCCTCGTAAACAGTAGCTTGTCTCGGGAAACTGCAATACTGTGTGATACAAGTGGCCTGGGGAGAAAGTAAGTGAGAGAGCTTATGGTGGTGCTGGTAAGGAGAAACGTGTACGAAGCTCGTGAGCTGGCGAGAGACAGATCTTTTCTGGCTGGTTATGATGACACCAAAGGCCTGTTAACGAACCTACTACCTGATGATAAGCGATTGAATTTCATGATTTTTTTCCCCCTAAAGTACGGCCTCAGTTTATTTTCTGTCTGTGATATATTTTGCATTTTCTTCAACAACAACAAAAAATGTATGTGCTCTCATATAAAACAGATTCCAATACAGCTAGAATGTCTTTGCACTATAACACACAATTTCAAAGGAATCAGGGCAGACCATACAAACACATACACACCGAGGAGGAAAGATGAATAGGGCGGTTTTCAAAGAGAACTGCACGTGAGATGGTTAAGGAACTTTGCTCGACAGGAATAAGCGTAGGGACGGAAGGGGGGGGGGAGGGGGGGGGGGTGTAGCAATATGATATTAGACTATAACAACACCTGCTTGGTTATAATATTGTATCTCATGTAAAAACCTGGTTTTATTTAAGTGAGACTGGTTTCTGCTTGATGTGTACTGAAACTGTTTCCCTCACACAGGACACCTCCATGCTGTTTGTTGGAGGTTTGCTTGTCGCTATCGCCATTGAGGTTTGGGATGTTCACAAAAGGATAGCGCTCCTGGCTCTCAGGATTGTGGGTGCCGAACCTCGGTGGTAAGTCTAGGGCGTGGGGGTTTGATGGTAAGTCTAGGGAGCCAAGCCTCTATAGGTCTCGGGAGGTGATACTCGATGGTAAGTCTAGGGCGCTGAGCCTTGATGGTACGTCTAGGACGCCGAACCTCGATGGTACGTCAAGGACGCCAAGAATCGATTATGTCTAAGACGCCAAGCCTTAATGGTACAACTAGGGGCGCTGAACCTCGGTGGTACGACTAGGGGCGCTGAACCTCGGTGGTACGACTAGGTAGCTCCAGTTTCACCAGCTGACTTTTTCGAGACAGTGAGCAGCCCCAGTCCATAACCAGTCACTTAGATGATTAAGTGATGTTAAATTGTGAACAGTCTTCTTTGCTTCATGGCCATTGCTGCCATAAGCTTTAGTGCATTAAGACCTTTTTTAGGCCTTTGACACATCCACCTCTATGTCAATTCTGTCGAAGGCGATTACCAAGAACCGCAGTCTGCTGTCTCTTTTGATGTCCCTGCCATTTATTTTAAGGCTTGTAACATCAGCTCTAACAATCTTGTTGTCCAAAGATAATCATCCTTTCTGGGTTGATTACAGGACTCATCTCTGTACACTATTTGATCACATTATCAACGGTAATTTTTGAGCTATTTGATTCCTCTCTTTGCCCTGCCTATATCTGAGAACATCATGTCAGTATTCTACTAACTCCAGGTGTTTCTATGTCCGCAATCTTGCTGGTAAAAACAATAAAAAGCACAGGTGAAAGTGCAAATGCCTGCAGTAGTCCTGGAGCTATAATACATGGTACGAAGGTCCATGCACCCAGGCGGAGAGCTACCCGACGAGAATACAAGACAGCTGCTATCCACTTGACCAACCAAGCACAGACTCCCTATACCATAAGTACTGTCAGATGATGATGAAACCACACAAGAAGATTTTAAACCTATTAAGGCGATGTTATGGTTGTAAGCCAGTGGTTCTCACCCTGTGGGTCGTGATACTTTTGTGGGTCCAACGACCCTTTCACAGATGTCGCCAAAACTCATAAGAAAACACATTTTCACTGAAGCTATGAAGTAGCAACGAAAGTAATTGTATGACAGGGGGTCGCCACAACACAAGGAACTGTATTAAAGGGTCGCCGCAACACAAGGAACTGTATTAAAGGGAAACCGCATTTGGAAGCTTCAGAACCATTTTGTTAAGCGGTTAAAAGTTTTTTTTTTTTTTTAAATCTAAATTTTGAAATACTAATTGCTGAATAATCAATTCCAAAGCCAATTCTATTGGACCAAGAGGTGAAGAAAAGACGCCGGCGTTGGATAGGACATGCGTTGAAAAAAACCCAAAGAGCAAAATAACTAGAATGTCTTTGCACTGGAACCCAAAGAAAGGCTGAAAAAACACAGGGAGAACTGAGCTCGAGAGTGAAGTTAAAAAGATGGGAAGGACATGGAGAGAGCTGCCCGCGATAGTGAAGGATAGAACTACCTGACATGAGTTGGTTGGGGGTCTATGCTCCACTGGGTGCTAGAAAGGCAGAATAATAAGAAGAATTATAAATACTTTTTTACAAACTTAATTCCTTCTCTGGCCACAGCCTTCTACTGGGCATCACACTGGTCACCTGGTTTCTGTCCTTGTGGATCTCTAACACCGCCACCGCCGCCATGATGATGACCATAGTCCACGCGCTCCTGGAGCAAATCAAGGATATCATGGACGTACAGGAAGTCGTCCCGTCCTCGAGCAACCTTAAAACCAGCAATGAAACAATCCCCAGGTTGGTCCCCTGAAAACTGTCTTATCTGTCTGATGAGCTCTTTGTGACCTAAGGACCTTGATGTTCAGCATATCTTTATCTAATCGTTTTCGAGTTACGACCCTTGTAGTAACTCGTCGCTCTTACCTCACGTTCTGTCGAGTACACTCTTCCTGTATCACCGTGACTTGAAGTTTCTACAGACTACATGTCTTATGGATAATCCTATGCAAGACCTCAACTTACAGACAAGTGACTTTTGTTGTATTTTTGCTTAGAGTTGTATCACCTTCTGTTTGTGTGATTTTCTGATGAATGCTTTTAGCTGCAAAGTTCATAATTGTGAAAATGTACAGCTGACCAATTACACTTTTCGTCTAAATTCATTTTAAATTGGGTTAGAATAGTTTTCCTTGTGTGTGTGTGTGTGTGTGTGTGTGTACGTTGTGGGCGAGTGCGTGTGTGTGTTCGTGTGTGTGTGCGTGCGTGTGTGCGTTGTGCACGTGTGTGCGCGCGCGCGTGTGTGTGTCCGTCGTTTCATCATTTACTAAACTCGCAAAGTTACTTAACAGATGCCCCAGTCTCAATCACTTGATGACCAACCAACCATGACTGGAGATTGGAGTATTCTTCTTCGCGATCGGCGACTGTGAGATCTGGCGGAAAGTTCGTATTGTTATTCTTCTTCGGAACTTTGGTCTTGTTCTGTCAGAACTGGAGTTTTTCATGCACATCCGTTCTGCAGATCTGGCTTTTTTGTATGCAGATTCTGGACTCTTCTTCGCTTAGGCAGAGGCACTCCAACTTCGAAGAAAACATTCCCAATTAGTTGCCTTTTACGACATGCTGGTTGAGGAACAGTGTGACTTTTTCTTTTCAAATTCTAAAATAGGGATTAGAACCACCCCCCCCCCTTCCCCCCGACCCCCCAGTGGGTATTGGAGTATATGATAAATGCTATCGTCAGTGCCCCACGGTCCTTGCATGATTCTTTTCTAGACCCTGTTCTGTCTTTCAGAATCACATTAGGGAGAAGGATCCGGTGCCTGCCTTGGTATGTGCTACATCGATGCTGGTATCCATCACCTCGGATATTCCGTCTGCTTATCTCTTGCGTGGGCGACCTCTGGCTTTGCTGTCTTCGTGTCTACGTCACAGAGATTTCAGTAGTAGGCCATCTTGTGGCCCCCCTCGCCTGCGAATTGGAAGGTAATGGGTTCGAGCCCTCATGATTTGAAAGAATGACATTGGTCCTACTGGCAAACCTAGCTGTCAGTTGGTACCAGGTATAGTCTTATTAAGTAAAGGCAGCTGGCGCAATGTTGACAACATCACCCGTCAAATGCCGACTTGTCTGTTACGTATTGGTCTACTCTACATGCCCGACTCGCCTGAAGGAGTGGAAAAAAGTCATTTTGCTGTCTTGTGAAAGTTTGGGCACATATCCGAACCATCTGATCTTTGCATAGCTATACAGTCGCTTATTCTGGCGTGTCTGGCACTGATGGGGGAAAAAACCATAATGACAGAGGACCTCTTGTGATCACATTAGTTAATTAGTCGACAGATTATCCTCATTGTACATCAAACCATTCAGTCCATCAGTGCTCAGATTCACTCCTCAGTAAATTCCGTGGCGTGTAGCGTTATTTTTTCTTGACTTCCTGCATAGCGCCCTTGTCTAGCCTCACCCTTTTTAACATGCTCTTCTTGTATGTCTGGTTATTGTTGCAGATTCACAGTCATTACTTGTTTCTCGCAAACGTCTTACTTCTCTTAGTGAATGCAGCATATCAGCATTGTCCGCAGCGCGTCCGCCCGCCAGGGTAGCCTCACCTGCAAGCCTATCAGCTTGCTTATTCCCTTGCACACCCGAGTGGCCTGGCATGAAAATGAAACTGATACGCGTGAGTCCCGACTGCCTCAGAGACTCCAGACACGGTCCTCTAGGTGATTAAGCTTTGCTGTAATCAAAGGTCACAGGTAGAGTGATGATTTCAAAGAATGGATGGCTCCTATTGTGCTATCGGTCGTGAACTGAGATGAGTTGAAGAATCTACACATCTCTTTGAACAGTACCATACGCTTTCCGTCCCTATTTTCACAACATTTTGACATCTCAGCACTCGGGACACTCCCATAGACCCTCCGTCCCCGTCTTTGGCAACAAAAGAAGAGTTCTAATTTCGTTGGCACCCGTGGCTGTCTGATCTATTTGGGTCTCGCCTTTCTCCTAAAACGCTGTGAGTATTGCCTGTTTAATTAAAAGAGAGGAACAGGATGGGAGTTGTTAGCTTAAAAACACTTGCAAACATACTCAGGAGGATATCATAGCACTAATGGTCATGTGTGATTTGCGATGAAGATGATCTTTAAATGAACAATGAACAATTAAACCAAAGGAGACAGTAGTGTCTGCAACAGTTGGCGGAGCAAGAAGTATGAACAGGGATATATGCGCTGCGTTCCAGCAACTTTTAGACAAAGGAGTCAGAGACCATCAACCATCTGTTAGAAATAGAAAACAAGCGTAGTGATTAGTGAGTAGAAAGGATTACCATCACAGCACTCCGGACAGATCCATAGGTGCTCCGATCTCCTCCTCAAAAGTTCCACAAGCGTAAAACGACCGATAACGCCTTTGCTGCGTTGGTTAATGAAACGGCTTGTCCCCTTAGTGAAATATTAATTTCTTTTAGCCCCAGGCTGCACCCCATGTCCATCTAGACAGGGATACAGAGTCATATCCTTTGGCGTGCTCCTCAGTACGGTAAGTGCAGCGCATGGCATTGATAGGATCACTTCTGTCCAGTACTGGAACAGTCATAGCAACCGCAATATCAGCAAGATAGTCTGCACTCTCGTTCCCTTGAACACCCGCACAACCTGGCACAAAGATGAAGGTTATGGCAGCTATTCGCGAAGTGCTTAGTGTTGCAATCCATTCTTGCCTGAGAAATCCAGATTGGATTTTGTTAAGCATATTCATCGAGTCACTAAGAATGCATACGTGTGTTAACTTTTGAGTACCAAGCCATCACAAGCATGGAGAAACCGATTGCGTGGCAAAGTATAACGAATAACAAGCAACATGTAGACCAGAGGGGAACATGTCAGTGAATGTTGCAGTTATGTGTACAGTAGGGGCGCCAGAGCTTAGAAGCTTGGCTACCTTAAATCATCTCACTCAGAAACATGTTAGTGGAGGCTCCCCCCCACTTCCTCACATTCTGTAAAGAGGTCAAGCACCTATCCCCAACAACTTTTTCTTTTTCTTTTTCATATCTTGCCCACAATTTTTTTAATTTTTTTATTTACTATTTTCAAGTTTTTTATTTACAAGTATCTTATTATTTTCCACATATGATACCACAACATCCAGCTTAAGAATGGAGGTGGAGGCGGTCACTGCAGCTTTCCGCTGGCTAAAGAAAACGACACACACACACATCGTGATTTTAACTGATTCAGAAAGCATGCTGAGGAAGATCAGAACAGGTATGCTTCGTGCACAGTGGCACGCTTCGCTGCGGAGGACACGGGTGAGGAGTATTGTCTGGATTGTTTCACCGGTGCACGCCTGTGTGTTGGGAAATGAAGAGGCGGACAGACTGGCTGGCTCTGCACAACTTGGTGGAATACTGATACATGATTAGGCAGACGTGGTTAGTGCCTTGTGGGAGAACGTGTACAGTTCGGAGGAGCAGATGGATCGCCACAGTCTGGTGAGATTGATGCAGTTGGGAGTGAAGAGAGGTTCTGGCAGATGCTCGAGGCTCAGAGGAAAGGCAAGACGGACGTTTAATCAGAATGCTACTGGCACCATTAGCATCGGAACTCTTCGCTGGCTGCTGAAGATGGGGACGGAGCGCTTATGGGAATGCCCCGAGTGCTGTGATGTCGGTTCTTGAATCAAATCATTATTTTCCATTACATTATATTTCTTCGCCATCAAGCAAATCCTGTTATTTATTATGAGGCCCTAAGACAGTCCCTTCCGCCTCAAGGCCAGACAATAGCCAGTGGCAGACATCGTGCACAGGATCGCAAATTATTCCTCCGCACGGGTCTCTTAACGGCAGAGGTGGTTTATGATAATGATTATGATGATGCTGATGTTAATGATGAAGCGCTTAGATAACGCCTCTAAAAAATGTGTAAGAGCGCTGATTTTTTTTTTTTTTTTTAAAATTCGCTCTTTTCACACAGTTTGTTCTTTTTTCTCTCCCTCTTTTTTTTCTCCCTCTGTTTCTCTGTGTCTCGCGCGAATCTCTCTCTCTCTCTCTCTCTCTCTCTCTCTCTCTCTCTCTCTCTCTCTCTCTCTCTCTCCTGCAGGCAGTCATTACACGATCTGAAGGACAGACAGAAAGAGAGGGAGAAAGCTACAATGGAGCTCCTACAACTGGGCAAGGCCTTGTCTCTAACGGTGGCCTACGCTGCCAACATCGGGGGTACCGGCAGTCTCACGGGTACGGGACCCAACCTGGTCTTTGCTGCCGCTGCTGAGAAGTAAGTCCGCTGGTTCATGACGAGTTTAAGTCTGTTGACAGCGAATGAATGAATGTATGAACGAAACCGTAAATGAATGAATGAATGAAGTGGCATCATGGCTCTTGAGACATTCCCTCATGTGCTCTGTTTCTATCCTTGGAAGCCAACGAGGAGTTCTCGTGCTAACAGTGCCAACTGTAACCTGATTAAAAGATCATCTATGTTTTCCCACGGCATTGAATATCGCCAAGAACCTTCCCTTAGCACCCCTGGCCCCGGCCCTAAACAGCCAATGAATTAGCCGTTCGAGGTTTGGATAATATGTTATGTTGTACTGTCTACTTGTTATATCTCATAGTGTCTTTGCCACGCCCGCTTATCTCATCAGTTCAGCTGTCTCAAGAGTACTTTTGCGAGTAAAAAACAGAATCCACGTTCACCCTTGGCTCCATGTTGCATAGGTAACAACGCAACTTCCACTGGCCGGCTAGGAAAATTTACAAATGGTGAATCTAGATTCTAGTTTTGCTGGGATCAATTTCAGTCAGTTATTTAAAATTTTTAAATTCACTGTAACAAGCCTAGATGAAAACCGCAAGCTAAGGTATCCAAGTGATGTTAGCTGTATCGTCAGTCATTATCATCATGTGTCCTGACAACTGGCGTAGGCGCTCATGCGTCTCCACAGAACACGATCCTTAGTTGACTGGAACAGCTCTCTTGATGATATCCCTCCATGCCATTGTTTTAACCCATCCAGCATAATCTCTCTTGGTCTGCCTCTACCCCTCTTTCCTCTGATCTTTCCAGTTGTCACGATGTTCTCCGATGTCTCTCTTCTCATAATGTGGCAAAAGAACAGTGTTTGTCTTTTTCTTATTGTAGTAAATAGAGATCTACTTTCTCGTCAGTGCCAACGGAAAAATGTCTAAAACTTTATGATGTTGCCTTTATCTGTTCTGTAGAATTGCTTGCCATTTTTCATCAGTCCGTTCAGCAACAGTGTTCCTAGCTCGTTCTAATATCTTTGAAGAAGTGTTCTTTATGTGGGCACACAGTCGGAACCGTTTTTTTCCAAGGTATTGCTCTACGAAATCTCCTTTACTGTAAAATTTCTCACATATGGTGATCATTCGGCCAAGTTTATAGCTTACAGTAACTAAAGCAACATTCCGTGTCCCAACTTTCGTACCATATATCTGTTATTAACTTAAGTTAGTCTTCAGTTCCTTGAGTCTTGAGGCACGCACTGGCCCTTCATTTTTATAATAAGATAGATTTTTCATTTTAGTATCTTTTTAAGTTGTACTCTTTTGGAGTGGCAATGCACATAGGGCAGAGGTCATAGATCTCCATGTCTGGCGGTTCGTTTCCATCTGTTTTAGGTCTTGGATGTTGATTATATCCATGGCTCAGCCTGCCCTGATAATGGTTCTACGCTGGGTCTCTCTCTTGGTCTTTATCGTTTTCTTTTTCCTTCCGGTGTCAAAATGAAGACTTGATGGGGGGAGATGGTCTTATCCATTCGGAATGCATAACGATGTAGTTCCAGCGGCGCTTTCTTATACATTTGGCTACATTATCTTGCTGGGTCTCTTGTCTTATTTGCGCACTTTATCTAAAATCTGTCCAGTGGAGATTTAGTGTTCTTGTAAAACATTTGTTCTCAAAATCACCCTTTTAAAAAAGAAATCTTTATTTGTGTGTGTTTGCTGAATGTCTTTGACTTCCAGATCTTAGGCAGTGTGCACATCAGTTAATTGAGTATTCTCGACATGACGTTGCAAAACTAACCCCAACATTTTTTGATAGTTGTGGTTTTTCTAGGCAAATTTGCATCCAGTAGTTTGCCATTGCTTTCTGGACAGTCGGCTCCTTGATACCACTGTCAAAACCAACGCAAGGTGCAAGGCCTGTAGCTGGGATCGATCCAAGTACCCCGGCATCACGAAACGCGTTCGCAACCCCTAAGCCACAGACACCGACAACTTATAACAGGAGGAGCACAATCTTCTAGACAAAGAATGTTGAACTGTGAATGTTGAATTGTGAATGTTGAACTGTGAATGTTGAATTGTGAATGTTGAATTATGAATGTTGAATTGTGAATGTTGAATTATGAATGTTGAATGAGGAATCGACATCACAGCACTCAGGATACTCCCAGTGTTCCCATGACACAGTAACCATTCTGATTGTAAATTCGTCTCGCCTTTCCCCTGAGTGTTGAGCGTCGTCCAGATTCCCTAGAAACCCCTCGCAGCTCCATTTTCCTGAAACTGTAATGATCTATTTGTGCCTGTGCACTGTTCATTCGCTCCCAAAGGGCATTCTGGACAAAGAACTCACTATCACTCATCAGTCATCAGCGAATTCCACATACGCCCTTCCTGTAAAACTCTTTCAACCGATCATGCCACTCACCTCTGCAATGACAAAACTGTTATGTTTGTGTATGTTATAAACTGTGATCCGCTGTTTGAAATATGATCATGAATTGCCCGGATTAAACTCCTAACACACTAGTTAACAAAATGAAACGAAAGGTTAGTCAGCTTGTGTATTCTTGTGCGGGCCTCAGGTGTTTGCAAAGGGCCGCAGGTTTGGCATGCCTGGTTTACGCTCTCCTGCTTTTGGTCTGTAAATGTTATTCTGCTTTACGTTCCAAGCAGTCTTACTAGCATCAACTCCACTGGTTAACTCTAACACTGTGTATCTTGTTATCTAACATCAACTCCACTAGTTAACTCTAACACTGTGTATCTTGTTATCTAACACTAACTACATAGTTAACTCTAAACTGTGTATCTTGTTATCTAACACTAACTACATGGTTAACTCTAACACTGTGTACCCTCTCATCTAACATTGACTCCACTGGTTAACTCTAACACTGTGTACCTTCTCATCTAACACTATCTCCACTGGTAAACTCTAACACTGTGTACCCTCTCATCTAAGACTAACTCCATGCTTAACTCTAATACTTTGTACCCTCTCATCTAACACTGACTCCACTGGTTAACTCTAACACTGTGAACCCTCTCATCTAACACTAACTCCACTGGTTAAGTCTAACACTGTGAACCCTCTCATCTAACACTAACTCCATGCTTAACTCTAATACTTTGTACCCTCTCATCTAACGCTAACTACATGGTTAATTCTAACACTGTGTACCCTCTCATCTAACGTTAACTACATGGTTAACTCTAACACTGTGTACCCTCTCATCTAACACTGACTCCACTGGTTAACTCTAACACTGTGTACCCTCTCATCTAACACTGACTCCACTGGGTAACTCTAACACTGTGAACCCTCTCATCTAACAGTGACTCTACAGGTTAATTAAATGGCGAGCAAAGGAACGTGAAACTCGAGAGATAAATAGACCGACTCATGATTAGCGACGCGGTTTCTTCAATTTAACATCAAAAATAGTAAAATTATCTCTAATCCAAAGCTTTGCTAAGTTTCCTTGCATACATTTATCTAGGCTTTTTGTTTGTCTGTTCGGGTCTAAAGCGAAATCCTTTCCTTGCCATAGTGACAGCTTGTATAATAATTTGTTTCCTAAAACACTATCGTCAGATTGCGTTAGAAAAAAAAAACATTGGGAAAAATTATGCTTTGCACATGCGTCATATATTCGTCGTCAAAGAAATGTCTAAATTAAGGACCATATAGTTGCTGCTATCGGCTCTGTGGCTAAGTCGATGCGAACGCTTCGTAATGCCGGGGAACCGGGTTCGATCCCAACTGCGGGCCATACGCCTTGTGTTGGTTTCGACAGTGGTATCAGGGAGCCGACCGTAGAGAGAGCAATGGCAAACTACTGGACGTAAATTTGCCTAGTGAAACCACACAACAGCCAGGGGCTGATGGGGTTGGTTCTGCAACGTCCTGTAACGTATAGTTGCTGCTAAATAGTAGAGCCAATGAAATCTTGCTACGGTCACTAGTTTCTTAGTTTCGCATCTCGCCCGCCAAGCTAGTTTTTGCTTTCATACACAGGGATGTGAAAAGGTCTTGGAACAGCTTTCGCAATGATATATAATATGCCCTATTATAGTATTTGGAAACAGCTGTTGCTTTGTGTCAAACACTGCAATTTTGTGTTTAAACAATTGTTATCTTTAAAACAAATGCATGGGGTGGTGTCTTTGGTAATAATATTCCAATGCTAAATTGTTTACAAATTACATAAATCTTGTGTGTAGTCTAATTCTAAAAATGCCGAACTTTACAAAAAACGTACATATTGAAACAAAAAATATTTTTTCCCTATAAACAAAAAAAAGGGGGGGGGGGGGGTAGGGGGGGGGGGGAATACCGTCTTGTGACCTCTAAATTCTAACACTGACTAACGTTGCTTTCCATGGACTAATAATTCTCAGGGCGTTTACGGAAGTGAACTCCAAGTCTCCGATCACTTTCGGCACCTGGTTGATCTACGGACTGCCTCTGTCGTTGATACT